CCGTACATCCATTTCCGGTTCATCTGCGTGCATTATATATAATTAAGTGTGTCAAAAATCATTACAGAACATCATGAATAGATAATTAAGTGACCAAATTAATAGAAGTTCATCATCACATTAAAACCAAAGTACATACATAGTTCTCATCTAACAACATAAAGCTCTGCAGAGCATCTAAATTAATTAAACCATACATTGAAACTATGTAAAACATTTCAATGCGAAAACAAATGCGATCATAATCGCAACCAATGTAACAACTGATCCAACGACATAATGATACCAAGCCTCGGTATGAATGGCATATTTTCTAATCTTTTTAATCTTCAAGCGCATTGCATCCATCTTGATCTTGTGATCATTCACAACATCCGCAACATGCAACTCCAATATCATCTTCTCCTCCTTAATTTTTCTATTTTTTCCTTCAAGAAATTGTTTTCTTCTTCAACTAAATTTAACCTCTCGACAATAGGGTCGGTTGGAATTTCCGGTTCAACAACCTCCTAGATAAATAAAATCTATGTCACGTTGGTCGGCATAATTGTCATAAACAATAGATGAACCAATAGTTATGAAAAGATAATATATACCACATCCGAATCATAGACAGGACGAGGGCCGACGGGGGCGGATACCAAAACCATCGCACTATATAAGATGCAATAATAAAAGTAAGAAAATTATACAAGTATCTATACAAACATACAAGTAAGAATTTTTTTTCCTTTCAGAAAGAAGATAAGAACAAGAGGCTCACCACAGTGCTGCCGGCGACGAGATCGGCGCGGGCGATCGACGACGGTGAAGACGGGGACGGGACGTGACGGACTGCTAAACCTAGATAAATATTAAGGAAAATGGAGCTTGGAGGTTGAGTTTGGAGAAAGCTTAAGTAGTGTGGCTCGGGCATTCCATCGAACACCTGTGTGCATAGGAGGTGAGCTAGAGCACCACAAAGCTCTCTCCTTGTCGGCCACGAAAAACAAAGCAGTGAGAGTGCTCTGCTCGCGGGCGAGGGGTATATATAGACAATTAATTGGTCCCGGTTCGTGGCTTGAACCGGGACTAAAGGGAAGCCTTTGGTCCCGGTTCAGGCCACCAACCGGGACCAATGATGGTGGGTCAGGAGCAAGGCACATTAGTCCCGGTTCGTCCCATCAACCGGGACCAAAAGGTCCAGACGAACCGGGACCAATGGCCCACGTGGCCCGGCCGGCCCCCGGGGCTCACGAACCGGGTCCAATGCCCCCATTGGTCCCGGTTCTGGATTGAACCCGGACTAATGGGCTGACCCGGCCTGGACCATTGCCCCTTTTTCTACTAGTGTATCAGTAGGATACAAAATACGATGAGCACACACCTGACCTCTGCACGACTAGAATGTACACAACTAGCATTAACGGAACATAGAAAGTATCACACCACTAAAAATAAAGTTATACATGGCCGGTGACGTGCAAAGAAAAGAGCGATGATGATCCACATCGAGCAATTACAGCTAACGGAACTACCTATGTGATGTGTTGCTCTGGCTCTAGGGTAGATAGAGACCATTTGTTCTTTCAATTTAATTTGAGTATTAGAGTGTGGACCTACTTGCAGGTGGATTGGCAGTCAGAACATGATATGAGGAGTATTGCTACTCAGGCTAGGAAGGATTTCGATAACAAAAGTGCCCTTCTGGTCCCAGGTGCAAATGCACTTGCACCTGTTCGAACAGTAAATTCTGAAAAACGGCAAAATGAATTACAAAAAATTGTAGACAAACATTCTTGAGTGTTCTTCCTATGTATAAATTTTCTTGAAGAGATCACATTCACAGAATTTTCAGTAAAAAACAAAACAAGCTGCCCAAAATGCTTAAAAAATCACCGTTTCATACTACTATTTTTTCTGTTCTGTGCACATGGAATGTTATTTCTTCACCAAAATTTGCGTGGGAGTAGAACATTCCTAGATGTGTGTTGCAAAAAGAACCACATTTTTTTAATTTATATTAGTATTGTTTAGCATTTACTGTTCATCCAAAAGTGCATATGCACCCGGCAGCAGATATTGCATGTCCTTGAAAAACCTTTCTTTGCTGAAGTGGTTTTCCTATCTTGCTGGAATATCTGGATCGCTAGGAATGCAACAAATCTTCAGAAAAGAGAGGCCCGCTTTTTATTAGTGGAAGAGGGGATTTGTGCATGACACAACCCTGCTGGCGCATAGAATTAAATCTCGGTCCAGGGATAATTTGTTGAAATGGGTTTCTTACCTTTCACCTTAAAGCGTTAGTGCATTGTAGTTCTTGCTCTTATTCCTTTTTCCTGATATGGAGTTGTATATTATGTACCGTTCCATGCTCTACATTAAATAAAGTTGCAAGGTTGTGAGCTTTTTACCCTACGGTTCATAGTCACAAAAATAAATGCTGGCCAACGAAGATGATGTAAGTGCACACAATGCAAACTAAAATCGTCTGAACACCAAGCAAACAGTCTAACCACCGAGATTCAAATTTGGAGACAAGAGCATCCGTCGACACATGTCCACAGTTCATGTATGAATTTCCGAGAGAGCGGACCTCTAAAATCCCCAACTGGGAAAGCTTAGGCAATCTTATACCCACATCGCAACTGTACGCCGGTGGTATATCTGGACATGACAACCTAAGTGTACCATGTTGGATGTTCATTACTTTTCCAGCATGGAAACTTGGCTCGAGTGGCTGGTGTTTAAACCAAAATGTTGCCTTCATTTTCCACTGCGTTAATATTAGAGTGATACAGATATATGTTTTAGTTGAATAGGCGATGACAAACTTCCTCATTTCCTTTCACTTGTTATGCCTCAAAATGCACTAACTCAACTGTGAGTAGATCAGGGTTAGACTTCATCGGTTCAGATCTAATTTTTAGGAGCCTCGTTGCCGGCAACCATTTTTGTAATTTTCATTGGAGGAATCGAGTCGGTCCAGTTTATGAGGAAAATAGCAACAAAATCAAACCTTAAAACTAAACAAAAATTGATTGTTTTAGTAAACTTGAGCTAAAACCACCCACGTACTCACACTGATGGGTGAGGAAGGAGGGACTGACAACCCAGGTCGGATGGAGAAGCAAGATCCAATGTGAAGCGGTTCTAGGCATTGTCGACCCATCAAGAAAGACAAATCACCGTGAAAATGTTTGACGTTTAGCCTAAGCATGACAAGATCATTCTGATTCTTAAAATTGGAATTGTGATTAATTATTGCACCCAAATTGGGTAAGTTTGACATATCTTTACCTAATAATAAAGAGAATTGGGTTTCTGTCGTCCGTCATAAGAATTACCCCCGTAGTTGCTAATAATTACCTCCTTGCCACCGGTAAGTGAAAAAAAACGATTCGTTTTTCCCCTTCTCAAGTGGCCGCTGGCTTTAGTTTATTAAAAGTGAAAGTCCCTTTTATGCTAGAAGCATTTGTGTATCACAATGGCTTGTGCCTCACGGCTGCAAAGGGGAGTTCTGGGTTTGATCCCTGGTTCTTACATTTATTTTTTTTGTTTTTATTTCTTTTATCCTTTGCTTTGTTTAGGAGTCAACCTGCAGCTCAGAAAAAGAGAGCCGAGAAAATTAGTTGCAACACGCTAGATGTTTGCAAATGCATAAATTGGCATCATTTTGTTAGTCATTTTGATCGATCTCACATTTAACTGATAGCTTCAGTTTAGTTTATATACAACTGGAAAAAATCATAGTACATGATGAACACAAAAGGTGGTATCATGCATCAGAAGAAGATTCACTTACTTTCTCAAGTGAAATCGAAAAACTGGCCATGTAGTTAATCAAACAAGCAAGCAGTAGCAGTATTATGCTATTTTAAGAATAGTACAAGTCAGCTAGCACCGTTATGGAATTTTGTTTTTAGTACTTATCTTCAATGTATATATTGTAATTTACGTTCTTTTGTTTATTTTGGTTTCAACATTAGCATATTTCTGATCTAGATTATCAGATTAGCACATGTACTCTTAAAAAAGGGTGTTAAGGCAATCATGTAGTGCTGCATATAACATGGAATTCAAGTTCTGACCAAATCACTAGAAACATATAGCAGTCTTTCTTCCAAATGATCGATAGAAAAGTAAAATTAGGAGGAAATACTCAAATCACATAGCAATCGAATTTCAACCCTAATAACAGTTCGTCAATTATCATTCATTTGCAGAATTTTTGTTTTGCCACGTTGAGTAAAAATCGAGCACAATTCCATATATGTGTGTGTGTGTTAATTGATGGTGGTCTGATCTATTTTTATTGACGTTCGTATCAGATACCGGTAAAATATCCTTTGTTTTTATTTCGGTTTGATTTACTGAGATTATTTTCCTAGGAAACTACCATTGCATGTGTAGAAAACATAACATCATAAAATACAACATCTCGTCTTTATCTTGGCGAGTCCGATTATGCATATATTATTTTGAGATTATATGACGAGAAATAATAGCGCGAACAACTTTATTCGAACCATGATCTTACTTCTTACAGAAGATATATAGATGAAAAATATAATGTACAATACTCCTAAGGCAGATATGATATTAGGCAATGGTATGACACTTTCATGTCATTGTACACAATAGTAAAAAAAAGGCATCAATCCATATACGACGAGGAGGTAAAAACACATACTCCATCCGTCCCAAAATAAATGTCTCAACCTTAGTACAACTTTGTATTAAATTTAGTATAAAGTTGAGACACTTATTTTGGAACGGAGGGAGTATAATCTTTTCATTTGTTATGCATGTTTTCACATCATGACAATGTTTTAATAGCACGTTTCCCATTGCAACGCACGGGCAATTTTCCTACTATTTCAAAAGAAGAAAAATCACAATGATCCAGGTTCTTGGCGTCGCCTAATTAGCTTGCCATGCTTCGTGCCGCCTGATGCTGCTGCCCTGTCTTGCCTTCCGCAGGCGACGCCAAGCTGCACTTGTGCCTCCACCGGTCCAGGTTAGAGCATTGGCCGGAGAGCCGGAGACATCGATGGTTCTTCAGGCAAGGCCGGCCAGTTAGCTCGCGACCGACACCTTCCTGGAGACCTTGACTGTCGCTGCCTACGGTGGGATTCCGTCTCCGCCGAGAACCGCTGCAGCCTCCGCGCGGCCTGCCTGGCGCAAATGGCGTCGAGCTGCATCTCCTCCTGGCGGCACTCCTCGCTGCAGTAGGGAGTGTCCCCTCTGTACATGAAGACGTCGCTGTCGCGCGCCAGCGGCTTGGCGCAGAGCGCGCACGCGTCCATCGCCGGCATGCCGGACTCGCCGAGGAGCTCGGCGTCGAAGAAGAAGGAGCAGGCCGCTGATGCCGTCATGGTACGCGTGTGCAGGTGGCTATCGAGCAAAAAAATGCTGAGCAGAGATTATCTTCGTGGTGCGCTTGCTTGCTGCGGCGAGAGGGAGGATGATGGGAGCGAGCGAGTTGGGTGGAGAAAAGAGTGGAAGGCTCAGGTATATATGGTGCGTGGGGACGGACGCGGGTCGGGTAAATATCGCGCGTTGGACGGCCGTCCCGGGCGGTGGTAAGCGGCTCCAGCGAGAGGAAAACGACCGGCAATCGTGCTATTTCCTGGCGGGTCGACCAGGAGACATAGCTCTTGAAAGTCCTGTTGAAGTGTTGATGCAAGTTGAGCTATTTTTATTTTTATTTTCTTTTTTGTGGATGAAGTTGTGCTATTTTCTGAAGAGTAGAAATGTAGTTGTGCTTGAAAACTCTCAAAAATACAATTAGCAACTAGCTATACAAAAGTTACTAAATTCGAGGAGCTTTTTGTATTGTGAAAAAATAGGTCATGCAACTCAGTTTAAAAAATTAAGTCTATACAGCTCTTCATTCTATAGCCGATTTTTTTGCATGGTAATACATGTCTCATTCATATCATAAATATTAAAGTACAAGTCACGTAAGGACCAACATAACAAAACTGAAAAAATAGTAGAACATCTCTGAATTTGACACCAAAGCCCATCACCTGCCTCTCGCACCACGACAGCAGCCACCAAAGAAAAGAAAGATGAATCACCTCCTCATCCGAGCTCGACGCGGCTCCATCGCTGATATACAGCTTTGCGAACCTTCAAAGTGGCTCACGAAAAGTGAAGCCCTTACTGTTGAACGAATCAGACCGGGGCAACACCCCGGACCCGTCTTCGAAATCCAGATCTGGCACCCCACCGCGACTAAGACATCGCAGAAGGAAACCGTACCTGCCATCCACGAACCACGAACCCAGCACATGTTCCGTTTTCCAGATGTCGTCGATGCAGACCACAATCTGCATCCGCTCCTGGACTACCTCCCAAGCTTCGCGCCGACGCTGAAGCAAACGCCGTCGCAACTGCGGAGCCCGAGGACACAGGTCCACCATGAGGATGTCGTCACCGCCACGCCATCCTTAGTTGAACAGACTGGTTTCCAAATCCATCCCCAACCATAGGATCGATGGCCTTGTCAACGAAGGATCCAAAGATCTTTATTCAGCACTGTTATCATCGCCGCCGAAACAAAGACGATGAACAACCTAAAATCTAGACTACGAAGGAGTAAAAACGATCCACACGCGTGGATCCGGCGACCCCCCTCACCACCGACGACCGAGGTCGCCGGCGGAGGGGAGCCACCTGAGGACGGCGCTGGAAGATTAGGCTCTCATGGCGGCGGCTAGGGTTCCAGCCGCCAGGGACAGGAGGAAAACATTCTATAACCGATTTGTAAATCGTCAACTCCTACTAGACTGGCACCATATCATACGAAAACATGATACACGGGTCGCCTTTTAGATAGTACTAGATGGTACCCCGCGCGTTGCCGCGAGAATTGTTAACAAATAATTTGATGTTTAAAACATGAGAAAATTTATGAAACATAGTAGAATTTCGTGATGTTTTTTTGAAAAAAAATAGCGTTTAGATTAAACATTTATTTTTTAATGAAAAAAATCCAAAAATGAGTGTGATTTTTGTTCTGTTAATTTATTACCTTTGGCAATATATCGGCGAGGCAATATGTGATGAAAACAACATTGAGTAGAGATAGTGGACATCTTCACCCTTAGCTAAACTTAAAACAATGATAGCAACTACAGATGTGCATTCATAAAAATATTGGACGCATAGATAGGAAAAGAAACCTAGAATGACGTGGTTGCTTAAGAGGGCACAACGAAATAGTTAATGATTATCTATGATAGGTTGCATGTGCATGAAGAGTTAGTGGGAGCATGTGCATGAGGCTG